CTAATAGTTTTAAGAGGATATGAGTAAGGAAGCCAGATGAACTTGAACTGAAAGATAAATGAATGTTTATGCCTTGTAAAATTATTGATTCGTGTATAATATTTTGAATTCACTTCGCTCTCTGAAAATTTGATCTGGCACAGTATGAGTTATATACTGTGCATGTGTTTGATATCCATCAAGAGACCTCTTACATTGTGTTGGTGTGTTCATAATAATGTTTTCCATTTTGTAATGACAGCAGAAATGGAACCAAATTCCCCTGGGTTACCCAGAAAAAGGTTAATTCATAAAAATACATTGTATTAGTCACGTGCACTGAACACAACAGGTGTAGACTTTACATGGCATAGACACTTCAGCTGAAGTCTTAAAGCGCTACCATTATTACAGTGATCACTTCACTACCACATGCTCATTTATTTGTAAAGCATTGAATTTGTAAGTCAGCCTTAAAAGGCGTTGTGGTTATCATTTCTATTGAATAACTTGTCTACCCTTCCCTTGGATAGTGCTGCTGTGTGTAATTGTCTCAAATATCCCCTTTATTTGGGATGTGCATAAACAAGGCCGTGGCTTTCATTTTAGACAGCGTTTAATTTAGGATTTCACTGTGGCGTGTAATGTTTCCTGCAGAACAGTAATTTCAATAATGTGAGGAATCTTCAGCAAATCATGAGTTCTCTGCATGCTTCTGCAAGGGCCCCTTTGCAAATGTCTATACGGTACTGTGTACATTTCTGTGTATGTATATATATATACACAGTGGGGAGAACAAGTATTTGATACACTGCCGATTTTGCAGGTTTTCCTACTTACAAAGCATCTAGAGGTCTGTAATTTTTATCATAGGTACACTTCAACTGTGAGAGACGGAATCTAAAACAAAAAATCACGTATGATTTTTAAGTAATTAATTTGCATTTTATTGCATGACATAAGTATTTGACACATCAGAAAAGCAGAACTTCATATTTGGTACAGAAACCTTTGTTTGCAATTACAGAGATCATACGTTTCCTGTAGGTCTTTACCAGGTTTGCACACACTGCAGCAGGGATTTTGGCCCACTCCTCCATACAGACCTTCTTCAGATCCTTCAGGTTTCGGGGCTGTCGCTGGGCAATACAGACTTTCAGCTCCCTCCAAAGATTTTCTATTGGGTTCAGACGGGCATGTATATGTGCTTTCTTGAGCAGGGGGACCTTGCGGGCGCTGCAGGATTTCAGTCCTTCACAGCGTAGTGTGTTACCAATTGTTTTCTTGGTGACTATGGTCCCAGCTGCCTTGAGATCATTGACAAGATCCTCCCGTGTAGTTCTGGGCTGATTCCTCACCGTTCTCATGATCATTGCAACTCCACGAGGTGAGATCCTGCATGGAGCCCCAGACCGAGGGAGATTGACAGTTCTTTTGTGTTTCTTCCATTTGCGAATAATCGCACCAACTGTTGTCATCTTCTCACCAAGCTGTTTGGCGATGGTCTTGTAGCCCATTCCAGCCTTGTGTAGGTCTACAATCTTGTCCCTGACATCCTTGGAGAGCTCTTTGGTCTTGGCCATGGTGGAGAGTTTGGAATCTGATTGATTGATTGCTTCTGTGGACAGGTGTCTTTTATACAGGTAACAAACAGATTAGGAGCACTCCCTTTAAGAGTGTGCTCCTAATCTCAGCTCGTTACCTGTATAAAAGACACCTGGGAGCCAGAAATCTTTCTGATTGAGAGGGGGTCAAATACTTATTTCCCTCATTAAAATGCAAATCAATTTATAACATTTGACATGCGTTTTTCTGGATTTTTTTGTTATTCTGTCTCCCACTGTTCAAATAAACCTACCATTAAAATGATACTGATAATTTCTTTGTCAGTGGGCAAACGTACAAAATCAGCAGGGGATCAAATACTTTTTTCCCCTCACTGTATATATAATTCATTATTTTATGGTATGCATGACTGTTTCTCAAAAACAATGTTTGATTGGAGGGCAATCCTGTAAAAGGCTCTTAGTAGAAGCCATAAAACAATTATGGAATTCCAGATACTAAAATAAAAATGGGAAATGCATCTTGTTCAGAAAGCTCTTCCAACCAAGGGTTGAAGATAGGTATGCTATGGAAAACAAGTATTAGGGCTAGATTCAATCTTGACCGTGAAGATCATAGCACGATTGAAATTTAAAGAATTTCCCATTGAGCCGACATATGCAGCATTTACCGTGAATGCAGGAACATTGCCTTTAAATTTCATTGTGCTATAGCGCGGATCTTCTGTGGTGCGGATTGAATCTATGCCCGACTTGCCTTAAATTAATCTCCCTTTGTTTTAAGACATCTCAGTTACTGTTCAAGACCATGAATAGATGTAGCTGGTCTAAGATGTAAACTATACATCAAAGATAAGGTATGGAGATAAAAACTGCTGTCACATGAACCATGCGACTGACACCCATCCCATCCTTCCGCCAAGGTGACAGCCCTGTAAATCACACTGACAGAGGAGCAAATCACACAATAAGAGATTAACTGAGATAAGGATCCATTGTTTAATAGTGAAGCTGAATAACATCTCCACCCAGGCCAGTATGCAGAGCTAAATGTTCATGCAGTTAAAATAGCCACATATTGGAAAGATAGGTAGTCAGTCATGGCAGTACTGTACATACATTAATTTTATTCTCCAGATAGACAAACATACATGGTGTGTATAAAACATTGGATATTTTCTCATTTCAACTACTGGTTCCAAAAATGTGACATACTGCCCTCATGGCTGACACAATGACTAGCCTTATATCAACTCAGTGACTCATGTCATGAGACAGACTATCTTAGCAAGTGTTTGAGTATTCACAATAGCACTTCATTATTATTTTGGTTGTTTGGAAAGCAGTGGGATAACTGTGGATGAAGGATGGCTCCCTTAACGGTCTCAGACACTGAAATGGTTATTGATGTCCTTGATCTGTTTCATCATTTCTCCTATGTGCTCTCCCCTGGAAGAGAGGGGGAAACAAAAAGGCTGTCAAGAGGCTACTTGAGGAAAAGAACACTGCCAGTGTTACGGACATCACGTTGCTTGCTTAGCGAGTACCACTCCCTCCTCCGAGTCGGTTCATACCTGCCTCGAACTCGAGACCTCTGCTTTGCTAACACACGTGACTGCCCTCCTTAACATTCCAATGGTTTGAGACTCCCAAAAGGTACCAATTAAATGGCTCCATCTGCAACATTTCAAGCTAGCTGTGGAGTGAGCTTACGGTACGTTCTTAACTCCGTTACACCAGTTCATATCAGACAAGACTCGGGACCAATATTAAACAGACAAATTCTACAAACAAACCAGAAGTCAATGGGTGTCATACAGTGAGGGAAAAAAGTATTTGATCCCCTGCTGATTCTGTACGTTTGCCCACTGACAAAGACATGATCAGTCTATAATTTTAATGGTAGGTTTATTTGAACAGTGAGAGACAGAATAACAACAAAAAAATCCAGAAAAACGCATGTCAAAATTTTTATAAATTGATTTGCATTTTAATGAGGGAAATATGTATTTGACCCCTCTGCAAAACATGACCTAGTACTTGGTGGCAAAACCCTTATTGGCAATCACAGAGGTCAGACGTTTCTTGTAGATGGCCACCAGGTTTGCACACATCTCAGGAGGGATTTTGTTCCACTCCTCTTTGCAGATCTTCTCCAAGTCATTAAGGTTTCGAGGCTGACGTTTGGCAACTCGAACCTTCAGCTCCCTCCACAGATTTTCTATGGGATTAAGGTCTGGAGACTGGCTAGGCCACTCCAGGACCTTAATGTGCTTCTTCTTGAGCCACTCCTTTGTTGCCTTGGCCGTGTGTTTTGGGTCATTGTCATGCTGGAATACCCATCCACGACCCATTTTCAATGCCCTGGCTGAGGGAAGGAGGTTCTCACCCAAGATTTGACAGTACATGGCCCCGTCCATCGTCCCTTTGATGAGGTGAAGTTGTCCTGTCCCCTTAGCAGAAAAACACCCCCAAAGCATAATGTTTCCACCTCCATGTTTGACGGTAGGGATGGTGTTCTTGGGGTCATAGGCAGCATTCCTCCTCCTCCAAACACGGCGAGTTGAGTTGATGCCAAAGAGCTCCATTTTGGTCTCATCTGACCACAACACTTTCACCCAGTTCTCCTCTGAATCATTCAGATGTTCATTGGCAAACTTCAGACGGCCCTGTATATGTGCTTTCTTTAGCAGGGGGACCTTGCGGGCGCTGCGGGATTTCAGTCCTTCACGGCGTAGTGCGTTACCAATTGTTTTCTTCGTGACTATGGTCCCAGCTGCCTTGAGATCATTGACAAGATCCTCCCGTGTAGTTCTGGGCTGATTCCTCACCGTTCTCATGATCATTGCAACTCCACGAGGTGAGATCTTGCATGGAGCCCCAGACCGAGGGAGATTGACAGTTATTTTGTGTTTCTTCCATTTGCGAATAATCGCACCAACTGTTGTCACCTTCTTACCAAGCTGCTTGGCATTGGTCTTGTAGCCCATTCCAGCCTTGTGTAGGTCTACAATCTTGTCCCTGACATCCTTAGAGCTCTTTGGTCTTGGCCATGGTGGAGAGTTTGGAATCTGATTGATTGATTGCTTCTGGCTCCCAGGTGTATTTTATACAGGTAACAAACAGATTAGAAGCACTCCCTTTAAGAGTGTGCTCCTAATCTCAGCTCGTTACCTGTATAAAAGACACCTGGGAGCCAGAAATACTTATTTCCCTCATTAAAATACAAATGAATTTATAACATTTTTGACATGCGTTTTTCTGGATTTTTTTGTTGTTATTCTGTCTCTCACTGTTCAAATTAACCTACCATTAAAATTATAGTCTGATCATGTCTTTGTCAGTGGGCAAACATACAAAATCAGCTGGGGATCAAATACTTTTTTCCCCTCACTGTAAGTCCAACAGGCTGGCAAACTAGTATGCCACCCAGGTAAGAGCTGCCCATACTCACTGTTCCTTTATCACTCCCTGGACACACTTCCTCTGGTGGGGGTTGAGGGCGACAGTAGCTCTGGCTGGAGACAGCCCTTTGTCCATCTGTTTCTTTTGGTACTCCTTCTTCATATTTACCTGGAAGAAGATAAGACACCAGTCCAGTTAATACTGTGAACCAGTACGAGGCTCCATGAGGATGACGATAGAGACCTCAAGAGGGCAGCTCACTTGTTTAATGCCGTTGCCCAGGTGATGCAGCTGGTCATTGATGGTCTGCAGCTCTTTCTTCATGTCCTTCTCGCTGTCAGACAGAACGGGCAGCTGACTGCGCAGACTGCCCAGGACCTGCTTCACGCTGGGGTAGTACAGAACACATACACAAGTCAGTTAGAGAAGGAGGAAATAGGCTCATATCTGTTTACATATCTGATCTGTTGCTATAATAAAAGCTCTGAAGCAGCTCACATTAGTTTTTTGAGAGGAAGCCAGTTATGTTGCTTGGGTATCTGACCGTTTTGAAGACGGGTTTGAGTTTCGTAAAAACATCTGAAACTGAAGCCCTGAAGAAAGTTTAGATTTGAAAGACGAGCGTATCTAGCTACCTGTTCATGGTGGCCTCCTGGCGATACTTGGCATCCTCATACTTATCAGCCAGAAGCTCTGCAGACTCTCGCAGGCTTTTCCTATTGATAGAACAATAAACAAGGTGAAGAACAGCTCCAACGTATATGAAATGCAGGTGAAGCTCATATGAAGCCTCTGTACTTCCATCACTGTAATTCACATGCTTCCGTTTGGCCTCATCAACCCCAGACTGCCGGCGTAGAAAATCACTTACATCACACACTATATGACCTCATTGGATGATGATCATATTAGGCTATATGTACACTGGGAGCAAACAGGTTAACAAATATACATTATACTGAGAGTCAATGAAACAGTGATGACAGACAATTTCATTCCAAGACTACTTGGAGCACATTTCTGCCACTGCTAAAAACTCTGAAAAGGGCTTCAGACAATACAACAATTTCTTACAGTACATCAATATGCTGCTGCCTGCTCTGGTTCTTCATGTAATACATGTCTCTGTCTTTTATATTACCTCGCTCTGTAAAATGAAAAAGCGTATGTGAAATGCATTGGTATTACAATATAACAAAGGCACTACATCCAATCCATTATTATTTCAAGTGCTATTATTGTTAGCACAATTCTGAGTTGTTGGATGCCTTGGGTGTGCATAGCCATGGGCAATGTTCCCTCAAATTTATTGGGGCACTGAGCAAATTTTAGGTCTTGTGAGCGGAAACTTGAACATCGTGAGAATTTTTTGAAACTTCTGGTGCATATTTACAGTGAACACTGAGGCTGTACCCTTACCGTTTTAGACAGTAGCCAATAGGCTATTGTGGCTATTTGAGCATAATGTAGGCCTATCAACAAAACCAATGGAACAAATCCCTTAACATTTTCACAAGGAAATTGCTTTTGATTTCTATCATATAGCCTACAGTTGCCTATATGTGGTGTTCAGTGCAGGCCTACATTGCATGAGACTTTTAAAAACGTTTTTACATTATGAAGGGCTTGACATTAATTATTTTTTACTTGGTCTGTAACACCATGGGCCAAATAGATGACTGTAAATTGCATAGAATTGTGTTGTATGATGCAAGAAACCACTTTACAAAATAAAATAAATTATTATCATAGAGAATTAGACAATGTAGTCTACCCCTCTGCCTATTGGCATATTAAAGCCTGTCACAAAATACAACACTGCCCCTGGGCTAATAACTCGCAAACTAGCAAAGAATATCAACAAATGTGCACACGTGCGGCTCTGATTGAAAAGCGCACGGGGGTGATTGAAAGACCGCTAGTGGGCTACCCCCGCTGCGCTCTGGCTCTGCCTACAACAAAATCACAGACTCAATATTGTGAAGTTAGATTTGTTTTGGTTTGTTGCATTGAAAATGTTGATTCGATCACAGGAAAACCTTGATCTATATAGTGCAAACTAATTGGGCGAACTCAGTGAAGTTCAATCTCTTGCGTCTCTGCGCAGCATGGCATTTCTGGAGGCACGCGCGCAGTTTAGCGGGAACATTGGCCATGGGCATCAAGTACTACGTTTATTGGGAAACTTGTGTCCCTATTTCACCTCTCCTCTCTGCACAGGGCTAGGTCCTCCAGCTGCTTGTTCTTCTGTCCTGTCAGTAGTTTCACCCTGAAGAAAAAAAAAACCAGTCAGCAACATGCTTCCTCACATGGACACGTATGTGTGTCAAATCAAATTTTAATTGGTAGTGTACAAATGTTTTCCAGATGTTATCGCATGTGCGGCGTAACGCGTATGTTTCTATCTCCTAACAATACACACAAATCCAGAAAAATAAGATAAATGTCAGAATCGGGTATGCATATACAGTGGGGGAAAAAAGTATTTAGTCAGCCACCAATTGTGCAAGTTCTCCCACTTAAAAAGATGAGGCCTGTAATTTTCATCATAGGTACACGTCAACTATGACAGACAAATTGAGGAAAAAAAAATACAGAAAATCACATTGTAGGATTTTTAATGAATTTATTTGCAAATTATAGTGGAAAATAAGTATTTGGTCACCTACAAACAAGCAAGATTTCTGGCTCTCACAGACCTGTAACTTCTTCTTTAAGAGGCTCCTCTGTCCTCCACTCGTTACCTGTATTAATGGCACCTGTTTGAACTTGTTATCAGTATAAAAGACACCTGTCCACAACCTCAAACAGTCACACTCCAAACTCCACTATGGCCAAGACCAAAGAGCTGTCAAAGGACACCAGAAACAACATTGTAGACCTGCACCAGGCTGGGAAGACTGAATCTGCAATAGGTAAGCAGCTTGGTTTGAAGAAATCAACTGTGGGAGCAATTATTAGGAAATGGAAGACATACAAGACCACTGATAATCTCCCTCGATCTGGGGCTCCACGCAAGATCTCACCCCGTGGGGTCAAAATGATCACAAGAACGGTGAGCAAAAATCCCAGAACCACACGGGGGGACCTAGTGAATGACCTGCAGAGAGCTGGGACTAAAGTAACAAAGCCTACCATCAGTAACACACTACGCCGCCAGGGACTCAAATCCTGCAGTGCCAGACGTGTCCCCCTGCTTAAGCCAGTACATGTCCAGGCCCGTCTGAAGTTTGCTAGAGTGCATTTGGATGATCCAGAAGAGGATTGGGAGAATGTCATATGGTCAGATGAAACCAAAATAGAACTTTTTGGTAAAAACTCAACTCGTCGTGTTTGGAGGACAAAGAATGCTGAGTTGCATCCAAAGAACACCATACCTACTGTGAAGCATGGGGGTGGAAACATCATGCTGTTTTTCTGCAAAGGGACCAGGACGACTGATCCGTGTAAAGGAAAGAATGAATGGGGCCATGTATCGTGAGATTTTGAGTGAAAACCTCCTTCCATCAGCAAGGGCATTGAAGATGAAACGTGGCTGGGTCTTTCAGCATGACAATGATCCCAAACACACCGCCCGGGCAACACCTCCTTTTTTTCCCTCATTTTGTCTGTCATAGTTGACGTGTACCTATGATGAAAACTACAGGCCTCATCTTTTTAAGTGGGAGAACTTGCACAATTGGTGGCTGACTAAATACCTTTTCCCCCACTGTGTATGTATGTATATATACACATACACACACACACATACATACACACATATATATATATATATATACATACACACACACAGTACCAGTGATAGTCCCACTAAGCCCAAACCAGATGGGATGGCGTATCGCTGCAGAATGCTGTGGTAGCCATGCAGGTTAAGTGTGCCTTGAATTCTAAATAAATCACAGACAGTGTCACCAGCAAAGCACCCGCACACCATCACACCACCTCCTCCATGCTTTACGGTGGGAAATACACATGCGGAGATAATCCGATCACCTAAAACGCGTCTCACAAAGACACGGCAGTTAGACCCACAAATCTCAAATTTGGACTCCAGACAAAAGGCCACATTTCCACCAGTCTAATGTCCATTGCGCGTGCTTCTTGGCCCAAGCAAGTCTCTTCTTCTTATTGGTGTCCTTTAGTAGTGGTTTCTTCGCATCAATTCGACCATGAAGGCCTGATTCACACAGTCTCCTCTGAACAGTTGATGTTGAGATGTGTCTGTTACTTGAACTCTGTGAAGCATTTATTTGGGCTGCAATTTCTGAGGCTGGTAACTCTAATGAACGTATCCTCTGCAGCAGAGGTAACTCTGGTTCTTCCATTCCTGTGGCGGTCCTCATGAGAGCCAGATTCATCATAGCGTTATGTTTTTTGCGACTGCACTTGAAGAAACTTTCAAAGTTCTTGAAATGTTCCATATTGACTGACCTTCATGTCTTAAAATAATGATGGACTGTCGTTTCTCTTTGCTTATTTGAGCTGTTCTTGCCATAATATGGACTTGGTCTTTTACCAAATAGGGCTATCTTCTGTATACCCCCCCTACCAGTGATGCCATCTCTTTCATTGTTACCCAACGCTTAGGTTTATCTCCACTTTACTCATATCCTTCCATATCCTTGTCTGTACATAATGCCCGGAATCTTTTCTACAACACCCGGAAATCTGCCCCCTTTATTCTATGTACCCAACGCACTAGAAGACCAGTTCTTAAAGCCTTTAGTCGTATCCTTATTCTAGTCCTCCTCTGTTCCTCTGGTGATGTAGAGGCTAACCCAGGCCCTGCAGCCCTCAGTATCACTCCTACTCCCCAGGCGCTATCATTTGCTGACTTCTGTAATCGCAAAAGTCTTGGTTTCTTGCACGTAAATATCAGAAGTCTACTTCCTAAGTTTGAGTTATTCACTGCGTTAGCACACTCCGCCAACCCTGATGTTCTAGCAGTGTCTGAATCCTGGCTCAGGAAGGCCACCAAAAATTCTGAAATTTCCATCCCCAACTATAACATGTTCCGTCTAGATAGAACTGCCAAAGGGGGTGGAGATACAATCTACTGTAGAGATAGCCTGCAGAGCTCTATCATACTATCCAGGTCTGTGCCCAAACAGTTTGAGCTTCTACTTCTAAAAATCCACCTTTCCAGAAATAAGTCTCTCACTGTTGCCGCTTGCTACAGACTCCCCTCAGCCCCCAGCTGTGCCCTGGACACCATATGTGAATTGATTGCCCCCCATTTATCCTCAGAGTTCGTACTGCTTGGTGACCTAAATTGGGATATGCTTAATACCCCGGCCATCCTACAATCCAAACTAGATGCCCTCAATCTCACGCAAATTATCAACGAACCTACCAGGTACAACCCTAAATCCGTAAACATGGGTACCCTCATAGATATCATCCTGACTAACATACCCTCTAAATACACCTCAGCTGTCTTCAACCAGGATCTCAGCGATCACTGCCTTATTGCCTGCGTCCGTAACGGGTCCGCGGTCAAACGACTACCCCTCATCACTGTCAAACGCTCCCTAAAACACTTTAGCGAGCAGGCCTTCCTAATTGACCTGGCCCAGGTATCCTGGATGGATATAGATCTCATTCCGTCAGTAGAGGATGCCTGGTTGTTCCTTAAAAGTAATTTCCTCTCAATCTTAAATAAACATGCCCCATTCAAAAAATACAGAACTAAGAAACGATATAGCCCCTGGTTCTCCTCAGACTTGACTGCCCTTGACCAGCACAAAAACATCCTGTGGCGTACTGCATTAGCATCAAATAGCCCCCGCGATATGCAATTTTTCAGGGAAGTTAGGAACCAATATACACAAGCAGTCAGGAAAGCAAAGGCGAACTTTTTCAAACAGAAATTTGCATCCTGTAGCACTAACTCCAAAAAGTTTTGGGACACTGTAAAGTCCATGGAGAATAAGAGCACTTCCTCCCAGTTGCCCACTGCACTGAGGCTAGGAAACACTATCACCACCGATAAATCTACAATAATCGAGAATTTCAACAAGCATTTTGCTACAGCTGGCCATGCTTTCCATCTGGCTACCACTACCCCGGCCACCAACTCTGCACCCTCCGCTGCAACTTGCCCATGCCCCCCCCGCTTCTCCTTCACACAAATTCAGACAGCTGATGTTCTGAAAGAGCTGCAAAATCTGGACCCCTACAAATCAGCTGGGCTAGACAATCTGGACCCTTTCTTTCTAAAACTAGCCGCCGAAATTGTCGCAACCCCTATTACTAGTCTGTTCAACCTCTCTTTCATAACGTCTGAGATCCCCAGAGATTGGAAAGCTGCCGCGGTCATCCCCCTCTTCAAAGGGGGTGACACTCTAGATCCAAACTGCTACAGACCTATATCCATCCTGCCCTGCCTTTCGAAAGTATTTGAAAGCCAAGTTAACAAACAGATCACCGACCATTTCGAATACCACTGTACCTTCTCCCCTATGCAATCCGGTTTCCGAGCTGGTCATGGGTGCACTTCAGCCACGCTCAAGGTCCTAAACGATATTATAACCGCGATTGATAGACAGTACTGTGCAGCCGTCTTCATCGACCTGGCCAAGGCTTTCGACTCTGTCAACCACCGCATTCTTATTGGCAGACTAAATAGCCTTGGTTTCTCAAATGACTGCCTCGCCTGGTTCACCAACTACTTCTCAGATAGAGTTCAGTGTGTCAAATCGGAAGGCCTGTTGTCTGGACCTATGGCAGTCTCTATGGGGGTGCCACAGGGTTCAATTCTTGGGCCGACACTTTTCTCCGTGTATATCAATGATGTCGCTCTTGCTGCTGGTGACTCTCAGATCCACCTCTACGCAGACGACACCATTTTGTATACATCTGGCCCTTCATTGGACACTGTGTTAACAAACCTCCAAACGAGCTTCAATGCCATACAACACTCCTTCAGTAGCCTCCAACTGCTCTTAAACACTAGTAAAACTAAATGCATGCTTTTCAATCGAACGCTGCTGGCACCCGCCCACCCGACTAGAATCACCACTCTCGACGGGTCTGACCTAGAGTATGTGGACAACTACAAATACCTAGGTGTCTGGTTAGACTGTAAACTCTCCTTCCAGACTCACATAAAGAATCTCCAACCCAAAGTTAAATCTAGAATCGGCTTCCTATTTCGCAACAAAGCCTCCTTCACTCATGCTGCCAAACATGCCCTCGTAAAACTGACTATCCTACCGATCCTTGACTTCGGCGATGTCATTTACAAAATAGCCTCCAACACTCTACTCAGCAAAGTGGATGTAGTCTATCACAGTGCCATCCGTTTTGTCTCCAAAGCCCCATACACTACCCACCACTGTGACCTGTACGCTCTTGTTGGCTGGTCCTCACTACATGTTCGTCGTCAAACCCACTGGCTCCAGGCCATCTATAAATCACTGCTAGGCAAATCCCCGCCTTATCTTAGCTCATTGGTCACCATAGCAGTACCCACCCGTAGTCTGCGCTCCAGCAGGTATATCTCACTGGTCATTCCCAAAGCCAACACCTCCTTTGGCCGCCATTCCTTCCAGTTCTCTGCTGCCAATGACTGGAACGAATTGCAAAAATCTCTGAAGCTGGAGACTCTTATCTCCCTCACTAACTTTAAGCATCAGTTGTCAGAGCACCTTACCGATCACTGCACCTGTACACAGCCCATCTGAAATTAGCCCACCCAACTACCTCATCCCTATATTGTTATTTATTTTGCACCCCAGTATCTCTATTTGCACATAATCTCTTGCACATCTAGCATTCCAGTGTTAATACTATTGTAATTATTTTGCACTATAGCCTATTTATTGCCTTACCTCCATAACTTGTTACATTTGCACACACTGTATATATATTTTCTGTTGTATTTTTGACTTTATGTTTTTTTACCCCATATGTAACTGTGTTGTTTTTATTGCACTGCTTTGCTTTATCTTGGCCAGGTCGCAGTTGTAAATGAGAACTTGTTCTCAACTGGCTTACCTGGTTAAATAAAGGTGAAATAAAAAATAAAATAAAAAATACAAATACAAATACAAAAATACCTTGTCACAACACAACTGATTGGCTCAAACACATTAAGGAAAGAAATTCCACAAATTAACTTTTAAGAAGGCACAGCTGTTAATTGAATGCATTCCAGGTGACTACCTCATGAAGCTGGTTGAGAGAATGCCAAGCGTGCGCAAAGCTATCATCAAGGCAAAGGGTGGCTATTTGAAGAATCTCAAATATATCTTGATTTGTTACTAGATGATTCCAAAGTTGATGTCTTCACTATTATTCTACAATGTAGAAAATAGTAAAAATAAAGAAAAACTCTTGAATGAGTAGGTGTTCTAAAGCTTTTGACCGGTAGTGTATGTGTGTATGCATTAGTGTGTGTGTGTATCTGTTAATGAGAGTGACATTTACCTTCTCTGCATCTCCTCGCGGGCAATGTCCTGTTTGAGGATGTACTCCTCTCTGAAAACCTGTGTGGCTCTGCTCAGCAGCTGGAGACACTCTGGAGGAGGAGACGATGTGTCCTTGTCCCCTGCCCTAAACACACAGGACAACACGACCGAGTACACAAACCAAGCCTAACAGTGTTCATTTGTGCATGTTATAGGAGGAGATGGGCATGCTGTAAAGTTTTATCTAACCTTTATCAAGCCAGGTCATTGAGAAAAAAAATGGTATTTCACAAAAACGGCAACAAGGGAGGATACTACATGTAAAGATAGCGCATCATGATGCCAAAGCATGTTGCCATGGAGTCAATTAGTATCTGCAAATCCAAGATCTCCTCAAGGGGTGTTTTCAATGCACTGTGGTGAGTGCGTTACCTCAGCATGAGAGGGTTGGTGGAGCTTCGGGCCAGGATGTTGCGAATGTGCTGCTCAAAGGAGTCGTCATGCAATCCACGCAGAGGAGAGCTAGCTGAGCCTACCCCCGGGTGGGAACACAGCAGGGGAGGAGAGGGAGGCCGAATGGAACTCCTAGAACACACAAAGACATCCACCATCAGTCATGACAATAATGTAATTTCTATGTTTGGACTGAAAAAATATAATGAATTGAAAAATAATAGGCTATTATCGTTCCAGAATCAAAACTGTAATTGACCAAAACACTTGAGTTCATACTGAACCATACAGGAGAGGCAGTAGTAGACACTCGTAGGTGCTGGTAATGCAGATCATGGTGGCACCCAAAGACAGGTCTGACACAATCAAGAAGCCCCGTACTGGAGCTGACAAACTGGAGAGAGAAAAAGAAAGAAAGAGATGAGCGACAGGAGATAAAAACGTAAATACAGGAGCCAACACCCCTTACCACCAAGCTGACAATCAATTACAACGGTCATCAGCTGGTTCTTCTGACTCAGGGGTGCCAAGCAGAATCTCAATATTTTCAATGATGTCATTAATATCTGATGCCTTGATAATTGTGCTACCTGCTACTGAGAGGCCTGGTACAGAGGATGTGCTCTACGATGCAGCGGTGCTCAGCAGCCAGCTCGTGGAGACTATCCTTGTCCTCATCTGTGGAGAGAGAGCATTATGGCAAAGCAGGCAAATTAATGCACTAACCACCTCTGATTTATATGGTAAACAAAACAATTGAATTGACATCCCCATCTGGACATGAAGGACTCACCTGACTGGAGGAACTTGTGCAGTTTGTTGAACCAAGTGAGGCCTACACTGTGCACTCCTGCCTCATGTGTGCAGTGGTATCTGTGCTGGCACAGAGGGTCTGAAATAGGGCATAATGCAAGTTTCAACGAAACAAAAGATACACAACAGAAAGAAAATCACATTGAAAGTACATTAGGCAAACATAATGATGGGGTGTGGACCTTTGAGACCTTGTGGGAAGTATCAATGGATCCAATTTTAGCATTCAACTATATCAGCATGACCCACTCACCTCTGTGCAGTCTGATTGGGCAAGTGAAGTCGGACTCCACAGGCTCGTCGTCCTCCCCGGCGGGCAGTTTGAGGGTGAGCTCCAGCTCCACACACTCAAACACGTAGAGAGAGGGCACTGCCTCCGAGCCCCGCAGCCAACGCTCCACTGCCTGTCAATCACACACAGAGAAGAAAAGTCCTCAAGTGTACACTCCTGGGGTGTATTCAGTGAGGTGAAATGTTCAGAATGTTGCAGATATATATGTAACAAATACAGCCAACACGATTCCCTGTTCTACCGGATAGACAATCATAACCATTCTACACAGAAAATGTGTATCTGAATATTCTGTAACGTTGCACTCTAGTACAGTACTTACTCCCGTCTCCTCCTCTTCTTCTGCTTCCAGCACCACGCAATGGTACAGTGTGCCTGTTTCCGTGGCGATGACCAGGATGTTGGGAATGCAGGGCAGGCAGAGCACGGCACAGGCGTCATAACCATAGTTATCCTCTGCCGCGGGGTACATGGGTAAGGGCCCAATGGGCTTACTGAGGCTTCCCAAACTGGAAGACAGAAAAATACAGTCTAGGGATGAGATTCAAATAAGATTCTTACTAATGGATTATCTTTTAAAGATTTCATCAAACAGTAGCATAATATACACTACCGGTCAAAAGTTTTAGAACACCTACTCATTCAAGGGTTTTTCTTTATTTTTACTATTTTCTACATTGTAGAATAATAGTGAAGACATCAAAACTATGAAATAACACATATGGAATCATGTAGTAACCAAAAGTGTTAAACAAGAGATTCTTCAAATAGCCACCCTTTGCCTTGACAGCTTTGCACACTCTTGGCATTCCCTCAACCAGCTTCACCTGGAATGCTTTTCCAACAGTCTTGAAGGAGTTCCACATATACTGAGCACTTGTTGGCTGCTTTTCCTTCACTCTGCCGTCCGACTCATCCCAAACCATCTCAAATTGGGTTGAGGTCGGGGGATTGTGGAGGCCAGGTCATATGATGCAGCACTCCATCACTCTCCTTCTTGGTAAAATAGCCCTTACACCGCCTGGAGGTGTGTTGGGTCATTGTCCTGTTGAAAAACAAATGATAGTGCCACTAAGCCCAAACCAGATGGGATGGCGTATCACTGCAGAATGCTGTGGTAGCCATGCTGGTTAAGTGTGCCTTGAATTCTAAATAAATCACAGACAGTGTCACCAGCAAAGCACCCCCACACCATAACACCACCTCCTCCATGCTTTACGGTGGGAAATACACATGCGGAGATCCTCCGTTCATCCACACCCCGCCTCACAAAAGACATGGTGGTTGGAACCAAAAGTCTCAAATTTGGACTCCAGAGCAAAGGACAAATTTCTACCGGTCTAAAGTCCATTGCTCCTGTTTCTTGGCCCAAGCAAGTCTCTTCTTCTTATTGGTGTCCTTTAGTAGTGGTTTCTTTGCAGACATTCAACTATGAAGGCCTGATTCACACAGTCTCCTCTGAACAGTTGATGTTGAGATGAGTCTGTTACTTGAACTCTGTGAAGCTTTTATTTGGGCTGCAATTTCTGAGGCTGGTAACTAATGAACTTATCGTCTGCAGCAGAGGTAACTCTGGGTCTTCCATTCCTGTGGCGGTCCTCATGAGAGCCAGATTCATCATAGCGCTTGATAGTTTTTGGCGACTGCACTTGAAGAAACTTTCAAAGTTCGTGAAATGTTCCGTATTGACTGACCTTCATGTCTTAAAGTAATGATGGACTGTCGTTTCACTTTGCCTATTTGAGCTGTTCTTGCCATAATATGGACTTGGTCTTTTACCAAATAGGGCTATCTTCTCTATACCCCCCTAGCTTGTCACAACACAACTGATTGGCTCAAAATCATTAAGAAGGAAATAAATTAACTTTTAAGAAGGCACACCTGTTAATTGAAATGCATTCCAGGTGACTACCTCATGAAGCTGGTTGAGAGAATGCCAAGAGTGTGCAAAGCTGTCATCAAGGCAAAGGGTGGCTATTTGAAGAATCTGAAATCTAAAATATATTTTAATTTGTTTAACACTTTTTTGGTTACTACATGATTCCATGTGTGTTATTTCATAGTTTTGATGTCTTCACTATTGTGTAAATAGTAAAAATAAAGAAAAACCCTTGAATGAGTAGGTGTTCTAAAACTTTCGACCGGTAGTGTATTTATAAGGTCCACCGAATAAACTTCATTGAAATTCAGTCAGACAAAACCAGAGAATACAAATGTTAAGCTGACCTACATTAAATATGCATGTAAGCAAATCCCAAGATCGCGCTTCAAGTTCGGAACTCAGGTGAGCAAAAGGCAGCCTTTAAGTTCTGAAATCAGGTAAGCAAACCCAAGATCACACTTGGCAGCCTTCAAGTTCAAAACTCAGGAAGCATCCAGTTCAGGCTTTGCCTCTTCTCTGCTTTTCCCCTGAAGGTGCTAAGCCCCTTACCTGTGTGTGAGGCTGGTGTAGCTCAGATAGGTCTCTCCGTTCTCGTAGAGGATGTAGAGGGGGTACACCAGCACATCCTCCTTGGACCGCTGGCCTGTGAGCTGTCGAGGGGCGCCGGCCACTGGCCCAAAGTCAAAAGCCACAGCGATCTCCCCCAGAGAGGCTGCATAGGAGCGCCTAAGGAGGGTTGAGAGACAGATCTTATAAGTAAGCCACATAGCAGGGTGTAGGTCAATTCCATTTTGATTTGGTAAATACAGAGGATGAAATAACTCACCCTCGAGTGTGTACACTGCTGTCCTCCTCTGACTGGGACACTGATAGCGCTCTAGCTGGAGTCTGAGGCTCTTTCAACCCATAGAACCTAAAACACACCAATACAATGTCAATGCAGTGAAATAGTATGGTCAATACAGTATAAAACTATCAAAAAGAAAGGAGGACCAAGGCACTCCACATCTAATTAATTTAAATGCCTTTATTTGTATGCCATGTTCAATGGAACCAATATTTAAAAACAGACGCGTTTCGGCTGCATGGCCTTCGTCAAGGAGTACAAAAATACGAAGAGTATAAAACTACTAATACACACATACATCACTCGCAGGAGATGGTGATGCAGATAACTAGGGGCCCTATAACTAACAAACCCATTGACTGATGAGACATAAAAAATAAATTCTAAAAGAAAACACTATCACAACAAGTCATTTCATCAATTCATTTACATATTTGTGCTTTGGAAATGGTCCAGAGCATGTTCACCTGATGGTGTTGTCAGAGGTCAGTAGCACTAGATGGGGCTCCTCCGTCTCACTGGGGAACCAGGCAGCCTGCCGCAGGGTCACTGAGGCTGAGCTGGTGAAGAAACGCTCAGCCACAGGAATAGTCCTGGTAAAGGGGAAACAACTTCACTCAGCACCGAATCTTTAGTTCATCTACTCCTTGGATTAGAGTCAACACAGGATTTGGAGTGGTGTAAGAATGTTTATTCGATATGGACTGAAATATGTTTTTTTCCTAAAACTCAAGACAATGAGCGTGGGATGGGGATCCTTTCTTACAGTAGGCTATATGGGCGAGTTAGTTCCAGCCCACGGCACGCTTCTGTTATAAAGAAAAATAAACTATGATACAGGGGCTTCCTAAATGTTCAAGTAGGGACCCTACTGAGCGCTGACAGTGCTCTAAATATCCCTAAAGGGACCAGCATAATCTGAAGAAAATGCTTTGATGGGTCGATAGTTATTTATAATAGAAGGGGTATTGGGATAACATTTCATACTCACTTGCAGTTAACTTCGCTCCGTCCTCCTTCAAACTCTGACCTCTTGCCCCACCGCTGTGGTAATTCTAGAACGGTGGCACCCCGTTGTCCAATGAGTGCGACGTGGTACTGTGTCGGGCTCAGCAACACCTGGCATACTTCGAACCGTGGTGGATTGATGCACAACAGAGTCTGAGGAAAGAAATGTAAGTCAACTGACGTTAGTCTTCAACTTCACAGGATTGGGCGATATTACAACAGCATTGTCTATTGACGATAATTGACAGCCATCGTCAATGGTGACGACGTCGTGATGTAACAGACAATGGTTTAGCCTATTTGAACTTGACTAGTGCAGCGCAGTAAAAAAAAGAGTCTCGCAGCACACAAGTGACATTCCGAGTAATTTGCTACAGCCTATTTCAATAAATATGTCATATGGCCTACAGAACCCATAACACAAGAGAGGAATGTAGGCCAGACAGAGCAGAGAATCCCACCAAAGCAGAACAAAATGTCCAGTCAGAAAATATTGTTTCTCTCTCTCTGTCGGATGCATGGTCATTAGGCTATACCCTAAACCTTTTTATGTATAAACAGACACTCCTTAACTATATTGTGTCTAGCTGTTTAAAAAAACATCTCTCTCATCTTCTTTCTCTCCATTCGATAGGCTATGAATATGACAGAAGGCTACGCTTCATTGTTTTATGCATCACTTTCTCCCGATCAAACAAAGAATGTAATGGAGTTCTCAAAAAGTTATTTGAATAGCCTAAAAACTTAAGGTAGCCAGAGGACTAATAATGAGAGAGAATAAACAATATCAATAGCCTATAGAAAAATATAACTTAAGCTTATTAAGAAAGAAATTATCCATGCGTGCCGGGAAAATCCATCCATGCGAGGTTGAAAACCAAATGGCCAATCATCTATCCTCCTACTAGGCCTATCATAAAAGCTTTAAGATATCTAACTTATGAACAGTAGCGTATTTCCCAAATATTCTGGCCTACGAGGGTGTTGTCTTAAAGTTGTGGCTTTCAAAAATAACAAGAATGAAAGTCTATAGCCTAAGCATAGGCCAGCGTTTCCCAAACCTCAGTCCTCAGGACCCCAATGGCTGCACGTTTTGTTTTTTGCCCCAACACTACACAGCTGATTAAAATGATCAAAGCTTGTTATTTGAATCAGCTGTGTAGTGCTAGGGCAAAAAACAAAACACATAGGCTATTCTCAAATCACAGCTTCATGAGATAGAAAATAAATAATATTGTTTGTTCTATTATTTTATGAGGCAAATAAAGCAATTATTATCCAGTTCTGAAGACGGTACTGCTTCTATCCAGCCCATGATGTAGGCCTATAACATACTGTAGTTCACTACCATAAGACAGCCCGTTTCTCATCAGACAGTCACTGCTCCATCATGTGCAAATCACACAGACAAAAACAAACCTGTTCTGCTCCTCCACCAGAAAGGAATATTAGAAAACATTTGCCATTGCCTGCACTTAGCCTCTGCCCAGGCGTTCAACAACATTATCTTTCATCATGATTCATCCAGTTACATTCAATTTCGCGCTATAGACCAACTGTCGGTTTAGCTGTTTTTTTATATTCTATTTTTTGGGGGGTGGCCAATAGGGGCGATAGCATAGTATATCACAATGTTTTATGGGTACATAATCACAATAGGACAAAGGTTGACATCGCTCAACCCTAATGCTTATCACCAAAAAATGTATGGTAACATGGATCAGGAGCTGATTAAGTCAGTGACCTTGTCCTCCAGAAATCCCTAGCCCCTTTTGGAGAATTACGTTTTGAGAGGAGTTCATTAGGTTTAACTTTAGGCAATATGATAACTCCAACTTGCCAGGGCTAGGTGGAACATTAGCTAGAGATTGTACGCCAGATATGTGATAACTATGATTCCATTACTAGGCGTTTCAGGTTATCTTATACAAAACGCCGCCATAGATGTTTTAACTAACTTGCTCTTTGCGATACCGTCTTCGTTCTCGATTCAGAGAAAATTGTATCTTATAAATATCTGTGTCCAGTTGTTGCTGGTTCTACAAAAACCAGAGAAAACTCAACGACATTAAATTCATGTTTTGTATCGAGTGAGAAATGCCTCTTACATGGCCACGTGTAGAAGTAGATGACAGTGCGACCAAAACAAAGTCAAAGATCTAACGTTACGCTGGGAAATGCTAGATGTGTGGAAGCTAAAATGGAGAGGAACCTGTTGCGGTAATAAACATAGATTTAACATATTTCTGACAGTATCCCCAAGAGCAGGTTAGTTGAAACATATTGCAGCGTATTGTATAAGCGAACCCTGTAACGCACAGTAATGAAAACATAGCTATCACGTCTGGTGTACAATCTGTAACTAACTGTAGTGGAATATTTGCCATATTGCTTACACCTGTCCAATCCTCCCAGATCTCCGCAACACAAGCGACTAGGGGGTCAGTATATAGGGGTTATTACGGGTTGTTTCTGGATAATGTGAAAAACAATTGCATGTTGCGCCAAGAATGAATGGGAGTGGCAGCTGACTGAAATTACATCGCAGGGACTATTTTAGCTTAAAAAAAACGTGTCGGAAAGTAGCTAGATGAACAACCACCCTTTAACATCGTTATCTAGCAAGAATAACGTGCTCACCTGATATTTCACACTCTCAAAGCTGTCCTCTGAATTGAGCTGCCTCAGGTTGGTCGTGTAAAAAACACTGTCTGCGTCATTCCACACGAATATGTCACCATTGAGACAAAATGTAAGATTCTTTGCAGTTCTCCTGCAATTCGCTTTGGGTTCTAAATCAAGTTTCTCTCGTAATTTAACAAATATATAATGACTTGGTAGCTCGCTTCTCCATCGCTCGCCAGCAAACGCCGCCATTTTTCACGTCGTCTGAAAATGACGTCGTCAGAGTCGTACCAATGAAAACGAACTTCAGAATACTTACAACTCGATCAGCCAATCAGATCCAGGGGCAAACTAAAGGCGTACAAACAATGGGAATTGTAGTTCTTACAACCACTGAAACGAAAGTTGCCTCAAAAGTTGATAGATAACATACCGGTAGTTGCTACAAAATGATACAATGTAACCACAGATAGAACAATCTTTGATGTTATAACAGTCAACGAAGTGAAAATGGTTTCAACGTTCAATTTGCCAGTGTACGTGCACACTCGCCTACATTACAAATGTAGGAAATACAGGTTGTAAGTAGGCAAGAATCAAACATCGCCAAACAAAATCATGGCAGAGGTTTATTACTTTTAGAACCTGCTTATAAACGTTTTATACCACGACCATGCCTTCCCGTGGGATTTCCACAGCCACAAAGTCCAAATATGGCTATATCGTACAAATTAATGAAAACAAAAATTAACTTTTTGGTCTTAATGTAAGGTTATGGTTAGGCACAACGTTAGCAGTGTGGTTAAAGTTATGGGAAAGGTTAGGATTAGGTTTAAAATCACATTTTAAGAAGTGAAATTGTAGAAATAGGCGGCGTTTATCACTTCGTGGCTGTGGTAACTAGTGACGACCTTCTCGTGGTTTTCGGTGGCATTACATTAGCTGCAATGCAATCGTGGTAAGTAGGTGTCACTGCATCTTGTATTGACTCCGCCAACAGAAGCTGTAACCCATTTTCGCTACGCGGTCTGCTTCAACACAACACGCGCTCGTTGCTTTGCTATTCATTGCGAACGACATGGAACCAGATGGGCTTGCAAACGAACTCGTCTGAACTGCTTGTGAGGGAAATACAATGTCTAATTTTAAGGACACGAACTCTACCCCAGACGGGTATAGGGCTCTAAACATGAGTGAATTGCAGGAGCTTTTACAAGATAAAGAAAAAATGGACCAGATCGTCCGACTCAATGAGAAGGTATTTGGTTCTACAATGTGGCAACTATCGAATAAAGCCACACAGTTTTACTAAATCTATCTGTGTGTTACATGTGGTTGATATTTCATGTTCCAGACTATTGCATTCAAACTTAAATAGGTGTACATTGTGTTCTCTTCAGATTTCTAGGATATGGGCAATGCATTAGCCGCTTTAGTAGCCTGCCAAGACTCTGCATTATTGTCTGCGTGGCTTCCAATGGTTTTCGAAAGCCTTTCACCCCCCATGTTCAGTGAGCAGCAGGATCAAACTATTCGAAATACTATAAAGGAACTAAAATATTCATTTGAAAACAAATCATCTTGGTCTCTCTGTCACACACACACACATACACACAATTTAATACAGTAAACACATCTCTCACACACGTTTACATTCAAATGTACCTCTTTTTGTATATTTCTGTCTTATTCCTCACTAGAACAACTATTGCTGAATGTAATGTTAAATTACTAGGGCAGTTTGTTCTTTTCCTATTTGAACCTGCAGTCTTGCACCGTTCAAAAACATTGTGATTCATGGTACATAGCCCTCTGCCTTAACTCATCAGGTGTGGCATTCATTCTTGGACGGAGAGAAAATCGTTACTCATTTGGGAATGGATGTGTGTGTGTCCAATTCAGAGCAAGACATGACATTTGAAACCTGCCTCACTGCTGCAGCAAATGAAATAGAGAGATGTTTCCAAAGTGGTTGCATCTCACCGAGAGAGGCCATGGAATTCTCCCAAGAGACTGGATCAGAATTACTTAGCTAGAGCCATGGTAGGGATTTCAGTAATGGTTGTAGTAGCAGTTATATTCGACTTGACCAAGACATTTGATCGAACATACATTTACAAAGTGTTACATGCCAGTAATAAACTAGACAATATGATACTGTAGGTTAGTTGAGACATTCACACACACTTTGTGTAAGTAAACATCAGTAGGGTGTCTGGGTGTGCTCCCCTCCCATTGCCCTTCCTGCAGATGCCATTAAAGTTTAATAAAGCCCACATATGCATGGTTGGCTGACATGTGACCATGTGGTGGTGGTAGTTGAGCTCATTTTAGCGGATGGCTCCACAGCCCCTATGATCCACTGGTGAGCAGCGCTCCAATTAATTAACGCTTTGGGGTCTCCGAGGGCAATCACCCTGAAAGGGTCATTAATGCCATAATAAGATGGATGCTTGTGTATATAGCCCATATCTCACTAGCTAGGTCCCTCTGGAGAATGTTCTCAGCCTCCTGACTGGCAGAATTGCTATCCTCTACTGGCTCCGTAGGATTTGACATGGGGTATTAGCCGAACTGTGAAAATTCAATTACAGTAATCTGGACACTGTCACTGTCTCAGTTTACCAAGCCCCCCCCCAAGACAAATCTAGCTGATCGATTCTTGCAGGTTGACTTGATGGAAAATGAGCCAGTATACTTACGCTGGCATAATAAATCATAACATATTTTTCATGTTTGTATAATATACAGTGTCTTCAGACCCCGTGACTTTTTCCACATTTTGTTACGTTACAGCCTTATTCTAAAATTGATTAAATTAATATTTATCCTCATCAATCTACACACAATACCCCATAATGACATAGCGAAAACAGGTTTTTAGAAATGTTTGCAAGTTTATAAAGAAACAAAATAGAAATACCTTATTTACATAAGTATTCAGACCCTTTGCTATGAGACTCGAAATTGAGCTCAGTTGCACCTTGTTTCCATTGATCATCTTTGAGATGTTTCTACAACTTGATTGGAGTCCACCTGTGGTAAATTCAATTGATTGGACATTATTTGGAAAGGCACACATAAGGTCCCACAGTTGACAGTGTATGTCAGAGCAAAAACCAAGCCATGAGGTCAAAGGCGGCAGGTAGCTTAGTGTTTAAGAGCGTTGTGCCAGTAACCGAAAGGTCGCTGGTTCTAATCCCTGAGCCAACTAGGTGAAAAATCTGTTTATGTGCCCTTGAGCAAGGCACTTAACCCTAATTGCTCCTGTAAGTCGCTCTGGATAAGAGCGTCTGCTAAAATGTAAATGTAAAAAGGAATTATCCGTAGAGCTCCGAGACAGGATTGTGTCGAGGCACAGGTCTGGGGAAGGGTAACAAAACATTTCTGCAGCATTGAAGGTCCCCAAGAACACAGTGGCCTCCATCATTCTTAAATGGAAGAAGTTTGGAACCACCAAGGCTCTTCCTAGAGCTGGCCACCTGGACAAACTGAGCAATCGGGGGAGAAGGGCCTTGGTCAGGGAGGTGACCAAGAACCCAATGGTCACTCTGACAGAGCTCCAGAGTTCCTCTGTGAAGATGGGAGAACCTTCCAGAAGGACAACCATATCTGCAGCACTCCACAGGCCTTTGTGGTAGAGTGGCCAGACGGAAGCAACTCCTCAGTAAAAGGCACATGATAGCCCGCTTGGAGTTTGCCAGAAGGGCACCTAAAGGACTCTCAGACCATGAGAAACAAGATTCTCTGGTCTGATGAAACCAAGATTGAACTTTTTGGCCTGAATACCAATCGTCACTTCTGAAAGAAACCTGGCACCATCTCTACGGTGAAGCATGGTGGTGGCAGCATCATGCTGTGGGGATGTTTTTCAGCGGCAGGGAATGGGAGACTAGTCAGGATCAAGGGAAAGATGAACAGAGCAAAGTACAGAGAGATCCTTGGTGAAAACCTGCTCCAGAGCGCTTAGGACCTCAGACTGGGGCGAAGGTTCACCTTCCAACAGGACAATGACCCTAAGCACACAGCCAAGACAACGCAGGAGTGGCTTCAGGACAAGTCTCTGAATGTCCTTGAGTGGTCCACCCAGAGCCCGGACTTGAACCCGATCTAACATTTCTGGAGAGGCCTTAAAATAGCTGTGCAGCGACGCTCCCCATCCAACCTGACAGAGCTTGAGAGGATCTGCAGAGAAGAATGGGAGAAACTCCCCAAATACAGGTGTGCCAAGCTTGTAGAGTCATACCCAAGAAGACTTGAGGCTGTAATCACTGCCAAAGGTGCTTCAACAAAGTACTGAGTAAAGGGTCTGAATACTTATGTAAATGTAATATTTCCGTTTTTTATTTTTAATAAATCTGCAAAAAATTATAAAAACCAGATTTTGCTTTCTCATTATGGGGTATTGTGTGTAGATTAATGAGGGACATTTTTTAAATTAATACAGAAGTGGAATACTAGAAGAAAATACCTCACATTTGGAGCATTTGTAACACTGCAAGGAAGTGCAACCTCAAAGCAAACACACGCAAGCCACAAACACATGTTTTACAAGCTTTTTAATGCTTATAAACTTTAATTTGAACACATTTTAAAGTTACAACGATTTAATCCATTTTAGAATAAGGCTGTAACGTAACAAAATGTGGAAAAAGTCAACGGGTCTGAACACTTTCCGAATGCACTGTATATATCCCAATATCAAATGTCGAACAATTATATTTTGTACTAGGTTCACACCCATTTTAGCCAAATCACAGGAACTGTTAGACACTGATATAATCTTTAGAGCACTTTCAGATGGGCTGCTAAGATTTGTGGTCTCTCTAAATTGCGTGCCAGCCACACAGTGTGGCGTCATGGAAGTATAATACCCTACAGACTTTGCCATCTTGCCTGCTGTGATGTAACAATGCAGATATTTCAAGCTGCTCCCATGACAAGACTTAAGTATGCACAAAGAGGTGTGACAAGCCTAAAAGCTCAGACCCACCGGTACGATTGTCAAACGTTTGCCTGCCAACAGTACTTAGCACCTCTGAACAGAGTGTCAGCAGTCAATCTCTTTTGTGTTCACACAGCAAAGACCTTGGAAGTCGTCAGCCGCTCAGCCTTAGGTGGAAGTAGCGTTGTTTGGCAGTGCATATCCGTGCATATTGCTTATGGTCTAGATTCCAAGCTATCTGCGCTAATGTTGCTATTTTGTAGAAAGCCCTTGTTGATACTAGCCGGATGGCAACAGCTAGATAGCTACCTA